GGGGGACAGGGCAGGAGCTGCGGCTGCAGGGGCAGGGGCGGGCGTGCTGCGCGAGCAGCCTGCACCGACGGCCGGCGGACCGGGCCGCTCCCTCCCGCGCACGCCGCGGCTCTTACCTTTCAAAGCTCGCTCCTTCCTTCTCGCCCCAGAAGCGAGAACTTCGGTCTCACACGCACCTAGGGGACGTTCTAGAGATCCCGGCTAAAGTAACTCAAACCCCGGGGGCAGACGGCTAACACCCGACCTGAGGCTGACGAGCTCCCAGAATTCCGCGTGGAGAAGCCGGCGCTGGCTGCGCGGTAACGGAAGTGAGGTTGGAAGGCGCGGGGGGTGCGGGGGCGCGGAGGGCGCGGAGGCTGGAGGCGCTGGGGATGGGAGGGTGCCGGGCGTGGGCCGCCGGTCCGCGGAGCTGGCGGAGCCCCGTCCTCCGGCGTTGGCTTCCTGCTGTTTTCTCACATTCACGGAAACAAGCTGAAAACCGCCGCCTGCAAGCCCACATTGCGGCTGCGAGCCAAAGGTTCACAGAGCTGGGGGCGGAGATGGAGGGACTCCAGCGAGGAACTCCGAAAAGACAAGATGGGACAGTCCCGGGGAATAAAAGACTCGGGAACAGTACCGAGTTACAGGAGGAAGAATCGCTGTTAGGTTCCTAGTTGTCCTGTGCTCCTGAGAGGTCAACAGAAAGATCACATCCGACCCCTGAGAACCCCGAAAAAGACGCTGAAAAGAGTGGAGAGGCAAAATTCACTAGTGGCGTGGCTGCAGGGAGCGCCCAGGGCAGCAGAGCTAGTAGCTAAAACAAATGGGGAGGGGTAGCGTGATTGATCTTGTGTGCCTGGCCCTTTAGGGCGTCCCCAGTCTCTAGTCAACTGCCCTTTAAGAATTCTTAGCTCAGCTGGGTGCAGTGGTGCACACCTGTGATCCCAGCACTAGGGGAGGCAGAGGCGGGCGGCTCTCTGAGTTCGAGGCCAGTCTGATCTACTGAGTCGAGGACAGGTAGGGCTACACAGAGACCCTGTCTTGAAAAACAACGACAAAACGAACTAAATTGTACCGAGTGGAAGAAGCTAGAAGCAACAGGCCACATCATAAGAGTTTCATTGACAGTATTTTGGAAGAGTCGGACAATACAACAGACCCGGAGTGCTTGTCGAGGGCAGAGACGGGAGAAGAATTCAGCGAGGAGGCTGAGGCTTGAGCATCTGCCAAGTCTACAGTGATAATGAAGTCAGCCTTAACTGTGTTTTCCACTGAAATCGCCGTCGCTACTGTAGCTTGCTATGGATCGGTACGTCTTGGAATGACTGCCTCACAGTTTGTGTCCTGGTCTGGAAGTTTTAAGCTACCTTTTTCTCACCTGACACACACCCACACACACACACACACACCTATCATTTCTACCTCAGTTTGCTGCCTTGAGGAGGGAGGCTAGCATTCTTGGTCAACTGTGCTCTGAGGTGCCTCTGTGTTCTGAAGGCCAGTGCAGTTTTTGCCGCTTGCTTAGCAGAGCCTGCTTGCTCTGAGTCCCCTTGACACCAGGCTCCTCGTTAGGAAGACTTGTCTCCAGATGCTTTGAGAAGCACATGTAAATCTGAATGGCATTGTGTCCCGATGGAACTTTCTTGCTGTGGCCGTGCTGTATAGGAATTCTGCATACTCTGGAGTAGGCCTGTGCCATCAGATGCTTTGCTGGTGTGCAGAGATAGGCAGTTTCATGACACTCCCAGCCTGGTAGTCTCCAGTGCAGAAGCAAACGAGGGGTAATAACCTGAGAAGAACGGCAGCTTTTGTGTCTTTGTCTAACTTTTCACAGTGCCACACAGTTGGTACCCTGTAGCTGGACGCTTGTACTATGTGATGCTTGCAATGCATTGTATTGTGTTTGTGATTGTGTGTTGTCATTATTGGAAGTATGTAATTTTGTTTATATGCCACTAACCCATTTTCTGTTATCTTTGGCACGATTTGGGGAAGTGATTAAAGTCAATATCAATTTTTCAAAAAATATCTCCTTAGCTGACAAGACTTCATATTTACTCTGACCTCACCGAGTGTTTTCATCTTGCATGAAAGTTGACTTTTGTCTGATACTGTCTAAACTGAGAGGGGCTAGCCAGACTCCACGTGTAAAAAAACAAGGACACAAACCCCGAAAATGGATGTGACAAATCTGCAGCTCGGAAGCCGTGATGCTTGTTGGCACTGAAGGTGGGACTTCGGGAAGTGGCCATGGGGCAGCCTCCTCTTGAGTAGAAACGTTACACAGCTGAGTGGGTAACCGCAGAACTCAGGTCTGTGCGTGTGTGATGGGGCACAAATCTACCACAGTGCAGAAAAGGAGCTGGCCACAGCCCTGACTTCAGAAGCCACCAATGCCTAGACCTTCACGTCAGTACACAAGCTCGGTGGAGTCAGGAACATTAGTCTGCGTGTATGCCTTGAATAGGACTTCACACCTCCTGGGAACTGTGTTATAGACACTTTAGTCGGAGACAGATTGGATTAAAAGAATTTCAAATGCCTGCTCTTCTCAAAACTGACTTAAGGGCTGGAGAGGTGGCTCAGTGGTTAAGAGCACTGTCTGTCCTTCCAGATGTCCTGAGTTCAATTCCCAGCAAGCACATGGTGGCTCTCAACCATCTACACTGGGGTCTGATGCCTTCTTCTGGCAGGCAGGTGTTCATATAGCTAGACACTGATATACATAAAATAAACAAAATAGAGCACTCATACATAATAGAAATACAATCTTCACAAACTGACTTAATAGTTTCCTGTAGGCATACGATGTCCTAGGCGCTGCTTCGTTGTGGGAGGACATAGCACAGGCATACATTTTGTTGGGAATGATTATAAGTCCTGCCAGTTAGTTTTCAGACTCCACTTCATCATAGGGAGAAACGAAATTCAAGGTTCTAGGCCCCGGGGGGAGATGGGGACTCCCCAAGAGCTGAGCAGCTTCTGTTGTGAGGAGACAGGTGTCTGAGTCCAGACACAAGGACAGCTTCTCCATCTTGCTGGCAGGGCAAACAGGTTCATGTCCCCAGGCCCCAGGCCCTCCTCCTATCCTGACTAACGGAAACTCACCTGCTCAGTCCTTGTGTCAAAACATGCCTGGACCCTGCTTTGTGTTCCCATCCTAAAAAAATGTTGTTCAATGTCCCTATAGGGACACGGCTCAGATCCCCAACTGCTCACCTCCCTAAGCTCAAAAAATAAAGCTTTCATTTTAAGTTTCTGTCTCTGAAGTGAGTTTTCTTGGCTTGCACCCGAACCCAACATTAACTGTGAATCAGAAAAAGTGCATTTTGAAAATTTTTAAGAAGTGATAATTTATTAATGACAAAAGCAAACTTGCATAGTGGTGCATCGACACTTTCTGTAGGAGTCCTGCGATGTTTGAGTCACACTGAGACACAACAAAGCTGCAACTGAAGCAGTTCGATACTTAAGCACTGGGGAATGGGAGCAGGAACGTGTGTGAGTAATTGATTACGATCCTGTAAGAGCAGCAGGCAGCACGGCGATTCGGCCCCGAGCACAGGGACACCGACCGACGGTGGGCCCTGGGTGTGGGCACAGTGAGGTGTGTGTGCTCACGCTGTGTTCTGAGAAAGGCTGCGGCAGTCACACACCTGGGTGAGGGCGGCCACAGCCCCTCGGGTGGACTATATCTGTCGAATGTTGGGGTTTCGCTGCACCGCACGTGCAGAAAGCTTGCAGTGTTTCAGGCGTCTCGTGACCCCCACATTCCGTTATGCAGCTCCACCTGGGGCTGCAAGCAGCAGCTTCAGAAACTTTGCCCTGATGGAACAGATCGGGTCCCTTGCATCCCACGACTTCTAATTACCTCCAGGTCACACTCAACTTCCCTGTAGTTATGTCTCCCCGTGTTCAAGGTCAGGGGTCAGCATGAAGTCTGCAGTGGCGCCCACTTGCAAGGTCTGTGCGTTGTAGTCTCCCAAGCATTGCAACACAGCCTGCTCCGGTTAAGACACGGACGCTTTTCATACCGCAGCTCCTTTGTCTCCCCTGGTGACCCTAACAACTGCACCTTTCGGCTTCCACCTGAAATATGAGCATAAGACCCTCACAGAGACTGTTTCCTGTGCGAACACTCGGAGGGAGGGCAATCCCTGTGCCCCTCACCCTCAGCGTGGACTCGCTGGTCAATCAGGAGACTGGAGCTCCGGCTGAAGCCCTTCCCACACTCCTGGCACTTGTACGGTCTCTCTCCCGTGTGGACTCTCTGGTGGGCCTGCAGGTAGGACCTCTGCCGGAAGCGCTTTCCACACACGTCACATGGGTATGGCTTTTCTCCTGAGTGGACCCCCCGATGAGCCAGGAAATTGGAAGCGCGACAGAAGCCCTTCCCACAGTCCTCACACTGATAGGGCCTTTCTCCAGTGTGGGAGCGCTGGTGGGCCTGGAGGTGTGCTTCCACAGTGAAGCCCTTCCCACACTCTGTGCACTGATACGGCTTGTCCTCACTGTGGACCCTCTGGTGCACCTGGAGACTTGAGAACTGACTGAAGGTTTTCCCACATTTCTCACATTTGTATGGTTTCTCTCCTGTATGGATTCTGCAATGAACATTAAGATCTGAACTCCGGCGGAAGCTCTTCCCACACGTGTTACATTTGTAGGGTTTCTCTCCAGTGTGGCCTCTCTGATGAGCCAGAAGGTGTGAGACCTGGCTGAATCCTTTCCCACATTCCTCACACTTATAGGGCTTTTCTCCTGTGTGCACTCTACAATGAATGTTAAAATCGGAACTCCGGCTGAAGCCCTTCCCACAGGCAGCACACTGAAACGGCTTCTCTCCGGTGTGGCCCCTCTGGTGATCCAGAAGGTTTGAGGCCCGGCAGAAGCCCTTCCCACACTCTGCACATTTGTAGGGTTTCTCTCCAGTGTGGCTTCTCTGATGAGCCTGCAGTTGTGAGCCTACACTGAAGCCTTTCCACACTCCTCACACTTACAGGGCTTTTCTCCTGTGTGCACTCTACAATGAATGTTGAGGTGTGAACTGGAACTAAAGCCCTTTCCACACTCCTCACACTTACAGGGCTTTTCTCCTGTGTGCACTCTACAATGAATGTTGAGGTGTGAACTGGAACTAAAGCCCTTTCCACACTCCTCACACTTATAGGGCTTTTCTCCTGTGTGGACTCGGTGGTGGGCATGTAGTCGTGAAAACCAGCTGAAGTCCTTCCCACACTCTGCACACTTGTAAGGTTTCTTTCCAGTGTGGGCTCTCTGATGGACCTGAAGACACGAGGTCTGTCTGAAGCTTGCTCCACACTCGTCACATTTATAGGGTTCCTCTCCTGGACAGACTAAGAAAACGGTCTGAGCACAGGCGTTTTTCCCAGGATCCCCAGAGTCCTCATGTCCATCTGTGTTTTCTCCAGTGGGGCTGCTCTGCTGACAGGGAAACACTGGCCTCTGACTGAAGTTCTTCAACAGTCCATCAGACCTACTCACTCTGCATCTGTCCTGCACTCTCTGATGGGGCTGAAGACTTGAGAATGGACAGAAGGTGCTGTGAACCTCTTCACACTTGTAGGACTTCTCTCCTGTAATAACATGAGGATGGTGGCAGCAGTTGAAATCTTTCTCATGTGCCTCTTCTTCATGGCCTTCCCTGTGGTGAGCCTGAAGAACTGGATTCTGACGGGAATGTCTGCTGAGCTCCTCTTCTTCCCAAGGCTCATCACCTTGTTTTAAGGGAGAGCTGCTCTCTCCAGTGTGCACCGTGAGGTCTCGCACCCTCGTTAACTCCCTCGTAACTTGCTGCCAGATCTGTGAGCAGAAAAGCTCCTCGTGTGCCAGGTACCCTAGTCCTACTTTCTGAAGAGACTCCATTTCCTTCACATTCTCATCTCCTAAAAGCACAAAGAGAATTCAGAAAGAGGTAGGGCGTGGGAAGGCCATGCTGGCTGCTGTTGGAGTCACACAGCCTAAGGCTTCATCACTGAACCAGAAAAAGGTTCCCTTCCCTTTAGCACGAGCAGCCTGCCATCTCACCCACACGCCCAGAAGCCACGGCCGGGGCTGCAGGCTCCCATACTTACGGAGTTCTACAAAGCATCACATGTGAGTGAGGTTGTAGTGCATGTACTCAGCACACACACAAATAAATACAAATAAAAAATACAGGTGGAAGTGACTGAGGAAGACACTCCTCACACGTGTGTGCTTATCTATTACACGTGTGCCACGTCCACAAGGACTCATCCAGATGTAGAGAACAACTAAACTTCAAGGGAGTTAGTGCCCCCAGAGACTGATGCCAGGAGTGGGACGGATTGAGCAGAGGGTGCATAGCCTCGGCTGACGCCAGCCCCAAAGTCACGCACAGGTTAAGAAGCCGATGGCCATGTCAAACCCTTCCCACCTGCGGGGTCTCTCCTCCAGCCGGCCACTGTCAGCACCGTGAGCTCGTCTCCTCTGCTGGGCTGGAGCAAACTCTCAGGAGCCGCCATCTGCTGCCCTGTGAGGAGCAGATCTTCAGTCAGCATCCTAAAAACAGCCATCCTGATGCATCTTCTGCAGGATGCAAAACCCACTCTGTCCCAAACTCCTAACACAAGTCAGAGGAAGACAGAATTTGTTTGAAAAGACCCAGAATGTACAGTCATAGGCTTGAGGATAAATTATTTTGACAAACACCTTTTTATTATCTCCTCGCCCTACATCTCTCAAGCTGTCTTGGCAATGTCCCAGACAGACTGCCAATGGAATTTCTTTTGTCTTACTACACTTCTTAGTGTATGCGTACATGCTCCTACACACCACTCGTGGACAGGGACAATGGTGGGCCTTGGTTCTCTCCTACCAACAGGCAGGCCCCAGGGAGTGAACCAGGTGCCATTACCTGCTGACCATGCCACAGCCTCAACCCTATTTTATTTCATATTTTAAGTATTTCTTTTGATGTGTGCATGTCAATGTATCTGTATGTAAGTGTGTGTGTGAATGTGTATGTGAGTGCAGGTGCCCACAGAGACCAGCAGAGGGTGGCAGATCCCCTGGAAGCTGGAGTTAACAGGCATTTGTGAGCCAACTGATGTGGGTGCTGGGAATCAAACTCTGGTCCCCTAGAAGAGCAAAGAAAGCAGTAACTGCTGAGCTGTCTCTCTAACTGCCTCAGCTTACTTCAGGAAGTGTCTGTAGGCATGGCTCAGCACGTGCCATCAAGCACTAATTGAGATAATCACTTAAGGAAGATGAAAACATACTAGCATGCTTTAATTTTCACTGCATTTATTAAACCAGGAAGAGGTCAGCGCTGTGTCACGTGACAACTATTCGCTTTAGCACCAGTGTCTGCTCTCACCCAGTGACACCACGTTCCTCAAGTTCTCCAGCATCACGTCATGGTACAGCTTCCTCTGCGCAGGATTCAGCAGCCCCAGCTCCTCCTCACTGAAGACCACGGCCACGTCCCTGAATGTCACCATCTCCTGTGACAGCAGACATTCAACTTTAACCTTGGTCATTTGCAAGGACAGCTCTGAGAAACCTGGGACGGACAAGTGGAAGGCAACTCCTGAGCTAAGACCTCAGGGTCCAGGTTTCTATCTGACTCACCCACATTTTGCTACTGCTCTTTATTGTTTTTTGAGGCAGGGTCTTACCGTGTCGCACTGGTTGGTAAGACCTTGCTCTATAGATCAGGCTTGGCATAAACTTGTGCTGATCTTCCCCCCTGCCCCTACCTCACAAATGCTGGGATTACAGGTGTGAACCACCATGCCTGGCAAATCCACCTGCCTGATTCCAGAATGTTTTCTTTTTCTTTCTCTTGGTACTGAGAAAAAAAAAAAAAAAAAAGACTGAAACCAGGGCTTCATGCAGACTGGGCAAGCACTCCACCGCCGAGCTGTACCCCAGCCCTGTTCTTGCATGGCTCTGTGTGCAGCTGAGGACCCCAACCCAAACACCACTGGCACTATGTGCCCGATGCCCTCGGCTGCGGGGGCTGTCTGGGGCACCACGGCGTTCACCATCACCTCTAGCCTCTGTCCGATAAACACCAAGAGACCTCCCCAGAGTGTGCTGATGCCTGGGGGTGAAATAAACATGGTTCAGAACCATCTCAGCCAACGAGGCTGCTTGAACTTTTTCTTCTGGAAACTATCACTGCCGGGTCATTCAGGATCCTCATGTGAACCTCTGTCATCCCAGAGGGTCCACGTGAACCGGGAAGGGGTGCCTGTCTGCAGCACCTTGCACCCACTGTGACGGGCCAGCAGTCACCTGGATGGTCTTGTGTCCTCTTAGCAGAGGATCCACCTTCTGCCCCTCACTCTGACTGTGCAATGGCCACGGAGTCCTTTGAACTCTGCTGGACACCTGGTCCCCAGGCAGATGCACCCGTTCTCTGAGCATCTCTCCTCCTCTTTCGAATAAGCTAAACCCAGCACTGCATGACAAGCTTGGTCTGAGGAACATGGAAGTCACCTGTGTGACTAGACTTCTACATTTAAATACATTATTCTGCCAACACAACACACTCACATAGTGAATGAAAACATATAAATCAGTTAGCAAACACATGCAGGGAGTGACTCAGCAGTGAGAAAGAAAACCCTAGCTTGCTTAGGTGAAAAGGACTGCCTTCTGTGATTAATTAGAACACACTGAACACACTCTCCGTACAGAGCAGACAAAGCATCACATACAAAAACATCTTTCAGGGGCCAGAGAAGTGGCTCAGGGCTGAAGAACACTGGCTGCTCTTCCACAGGACCTAGGTTCAATTCTCAGCACCAAAAATGGCAGCTCACAATGTACTGTAACTCCAGTTCTAGGATCCAACAGACCCTCTTTTGGCCTCTGTGGGTATCAGGCACACATATGGAGCAGGCTCACAGGCAGAAAGAATACTCATACAAATAAAATAAAATAAAATTCTAAAAGATGTCTTATTTAGTATTTCTAAAGAGGAACAGCAGCAAAACTTGAATTTCTTCTGGAAAAGAATATTTATACAGGTATTACTATAACTTTCCTTCACATATCAAAACTGCTAAACTATTTAACTGTCTGTGAGTAGAGACAGAATGGCCATCTGTTACATGTACCTCTTCCACCACAGAGCGTGTCAGTTTGTGGGAACATGATGTCATTAAAAACATAGGGTATATCTTTAAAAAAAAAAGAAAGAAAGAAAGAAAGGAGGGGGCCTGGAGAGATGGCTCAGTGGTCAGGAGCACTGTCTGCTCTTCCAGAGGTCCTGAGTTCAATTCCCAGCTACAACATGGTGGCTCACCACCATCTATAATGTGATCTGGGGCCCTCTTCTGGCATGCAGGTGTACATACAGATAGAGCACTCATGTACATAAAATAAATATCTTTAAAAAAATAAACATGGGGTAAAGACAGTTATGACAGTACATGCTTGAAATCCCAGCTCGGTAAGAGGATTGAGACTTTAAGAACAGACTTAGCTACACAGTAAGACTCTGTTAAATAAAAAAATATTAAAAACAATCTGGACTTGGGATGTGACTTGGTGGTAGAGTCCCTGCCTAGAATCCCCCAGTGAGGGGCTGGGGTGTGGTTCAGTTGCAGAACATCTTCCTAGCACAAGGAAGGCCCTGGATTTGTTTTACAGCACTGGAAAAAAGAATTAGGGTGTATAATATTTGAAGAGATATAATTCAAAAGTTTTATCTATACTATTATTACAAATAAAACATTATGCCATGAGAAAAACAAGAAAGAAAACTGGATGTTTTATAAAGAAAATAACGAAAAACGTGAGCTTATTCAATGTTACTCAGTTTTCCATTCTATGCTCACTAATTTCAAGGTAATTACATTTACTTTTATTTTATGTACGCGAGTGTTCTGCTTTCGTGTATGGTTAGGCACCACATGCATACTTGGTGCCCATGCGGGCAGAAGAGCGTGTCAGATCCCCGGAACTGCAGCTCTGGATAGCTGCCATCATGTGGGTGCTGGGACCTTTAGGAGGAGAGCCACACTGCTGCTCCACCTCTCCAGCACCCTCAGGCCCTTCTTAGAAATAAAAAATTAATCTATGCTAAAAGAAAAGACAATAAGCCTCTAGCAACAGGTTCTGGCTTTTAAAAGCATGTATTTTATGTATACAAGTTTTTGTCTGCTTGTATGTCTATGTAGCGGGTGCAGCGGCCAGAAGAGGGCAGCAGACTCCCGCATCTGGGGTTACAGGTGGGTGCTGGCAACTGAACCCAGGGCAAGGCAGCCAGTCTCTCCTGAGCTGCTGCTACAGCTCTGCAGAGCAGGTTCTCCACCCCCCTGTCCCCTGCACTCTTCCTCAGGGAAAGAAACTATGTCTAAAACCTTGAGAAGTCACACAACATTCTGAAACCTAGAACAAGCTCAACCTGGCCAGGTGTGGTAGTGCACTCCTTTAACCCAGCACTAGGAAGGTGGAGGCAGGCCAGTGCCTGTGAGTTCAAGGTCAGCCTGGTCTACATAGTGAGTTCCAGAGCTACACAGTGATACCCTGTCTCACAACAAAACAAAACAGAAACAAATAAAAAATGCTCCACTCACCTTGCCCCTGGCCATCCTGCAGTCTTCCTAGGAACAGCTGAGTCCTGGGAAGACAGAATGATGAGGAGACAGCGAGTGGCTCTCGGTGTGGCCGCCTACTTGGCTGCCTTACGTGAACAGCACTAACCGTGGTCCTCTCCTCGGTGTGGCAGGAGCGAGCTGGACTCCAGCCACAGCTCAGGACTTGTCAGGGACACCCCCGCAAGCACATGCAGTTCATTCACACGCGGCCTCCAGTGGGTCTCAGGCTGTGGTTCAGGTCTAGGGCAGACGGAGTGGAGGCACCCGGGTAAGGATGGTACTGTGTGTGCTCAGAGCGGGCCGGACATCACACTGCTCACTGGGAACCGTGATCCTTGGTGCGCCACAGCTGGCTTTGTCCTTTCTTGTGTGTTTTTAGGTTTGGGGACAGGGCTTCAGCAGTTAGCCCAGGCTAACCCAGGTTAATGGGTAACCCAGGTTGGCCGTGAACATTTTGATCCTCCCTGCCTGGGCTCCAAGCATCATGCCTCAATTCTTCCATCTATAAAACAAAGGTTTTAACAATGAGGGAATCAATGTCACAGGTTGTTCAAGAAATTACATTCTGCAGGAAAAATGCTCAAAGACTACCTACACCGCACCTGATCCCTCAATTGCTACAAAGCGGGTAACATTCTATGACTGTTGGGAGCTGCTGTTCTAGCAGCCGCTTTGATATTTAAATCTCAGCAGAAAGACTGGTTTTACCATGGCCTTCACTGAAGTCAGGGAAGAATTTCCAAGTCCATCTCCTTTTTTGTGTGACAGCAGGTGGGAGAGCTTGTCAAGATCACACCTCTTGTTTCACCTCCTGGTGAATTTAACCCATTGTTCTGAGCTGTTCTTACTCTGGCTTAAAAGCACTCTCCACTAGAGTCTACTCTCCACTAGAGCCTCTCAGAAAGGTCCCATGTGTTGTGTGTTAGTTTATTTATTTTAATCCTCACTCCTGACTCAAGAACTGTTCGACTCTGCTGGCGGGGCCCGGCACATGACAAAACCAGCCCTCCAAAAAAAGTACTTATTTGTGTACTTTACACATACAGGTGTTTGGTCGGCATGTCCATCTGCACAGGAACAGGGCATCAGATCCCACAGAACTACTAAGTTATAGGTGGTTGTGAGCTGCCACGAGGGTGCTGGGAGTTGAACTTGGGACCTTGGAAGAGTGGTGAGCCCTTAGCAGCAGAGCCACCTCTGCAGGCCTCGTCGTGGTCTCCACCATCGGAGCACTTGGCGTGCCTGCTCACACGTGGTTAATCATTGCTGACGCCTGAATTCTCTTTTCAGTCCCTTTAAGTGCACACCTTCAAACCACACTGAAAGCCCATGGTTTCTCGGGCTCTGACTCTGTCAGGGCTTACTTTGGTCTCCATGGTGAGTAAGCTATGAAATGCACGCAATACTCAAGGGCAAAATGTACTATGAAGTATCGCAGCCTCCATCTTGAATGCCCTGCCGACCTGTGTATCAGCTCGTTACATGACATATTAGTAACACACACAAGCTGGGTGTGGGGGAGGCAGAGGCAGGCACATCTCTGAGTTTGAGGCCAGTCTGGTCTACAGAGCTGGTTTCAGGACAGACAGGGCTACACAGAGAGACCCTGTCTCAAAACCCTCTCTCCCCTCAAAATGGGTGAGTACACACATCTGTGGTTTTCTGTTAGTGACTCTATCATACAGAACGTGTCGTTTCAGGCTAAAGAGATGGCTCAGCAGTTAAAAGCACTGGCTGCTCTTAGGTTCTGTTCCCAGCACCCACGTGCAAGCTCATAAGTGTCTGAAACTCCAGGTCCAGGGGATCTGACGGCCCCTTTTGACCCCCCTGAGCACTGGCTGCTCTTAGGTTCTACACACACATGAAATAATAACAATAGCAATACCAACAGCTCGGCAGTGCAGCTCCTCACACACACCTGGGCAGAGAGCACTGTTCGGCCGCTGTGTGACGTTTTCCCAACTCCTGAACCAGTGTGGACACCCTCAGCTACAGAAAGGGCAGACAGAGTGTCATCCCCAGGATTTTTATGGGGACTAATGGGCACACATGCATAGCACCTCCAAGGTATCTGACCACAGGTGCTGTACCCATGAATGGGAGGCTGGAGGCACGTGGGGTCCTGACCGCAGCTCTCACACGAGCTTTGGAGGACAGATGTGGGTCATGGCCGCACACACGCAGACTCGGTTGACAGATGCCCAGGAGATGGTGGTGCGGCCCGGGGCACTCCTGCCCAGGCGTGGCTGGAGGAAGTGTGTCCTGGGAGAGGGCACCAGCCTTCCCACTGGGCTCTCCCAGCGCCATGCCCGCCTGCCTGGACACATCCAGGATCACAAGCATTGGTGGAGGCCACAGTTCGCCAGGTGTAAATGAGACAAGGAACACACTCCGCCCTGCTCTGAGGTCTAACCTGAGCCATAGCTGTGAGCTGGACAGAGCCACGAATCACACTTACTCCCTGGGGAACTCCTCCCTGCAAGCCCATTGCTGGTCACTCTGAGAAGGACATAATGGGCACAAAACAGGTCCAGGCAACCTAAAAGGAAAGAGAAAGTTAAAATAAACAAACAAAAAGAAACAAGAGTCACAAACTAGTGACAGGCACAATTTCCAGAGAGCAAAGAAAGCCAAGCGTTTTCCTAACTTCACTCTTTGTTCTGTTTTGAGACGAGGTCTCACTACATAAGGTACCTTAGACCACAGAGAGAGTTTGAGGCCATCCTGGGCTACAAAAGACTCACACACACACACACACACACACACACACACACACACATAGACACACACAGCATTCACACACACGTACCACCCCTACACACACACACACACACACACACACACACACACACACCATCTACACATACACTCACACATTCACACTACTCAAGGGCAGGAAACGTGCTGAAAGGAAAACAAAAGCAAGACTTCCAAAACTGAGCAGCGGGCCAGGACTGGCGCATGCGAGTCCATCTTCTCTGGCTCCGAAATGTCCCTAGTGAAAAGCCGAGAAGATGGACACTGTCACAACGGCTCTGAGGCAACACCGGCTAGCAAAACAGGTCAGGAGCTGCGGGGCTGGTTCAGCAGACGAGGACCCCGGTGTGGAGCCCAGCACCCCGCGGCAGCTAACACTCACCCTAACGGCAGCCCAGGCTATCCCACTGCCTCTTCTGAACTCCTCAGGCACCAAGCAAGCGCGCGCGTGCGCGCGCGCACGCGCGCACACAGACACACAGACACACACACACACACACACACACGTCAAAACAAGAAAGGCTAGACAGGGGCAGGGGACAAGGCTCAGCAGTTAGCACACGCTGCTCACACGGAGGACACGAGCTAGGGCTCCAGCACCCGCACCAGGCGGCTCACAACCAGCTGTACCTCCAGCTGTGGCCTCCGTGGACACCTGCTCTCGACGACAGGCGTGCGTGAGTGTGCGTCATCTGTGCATGGGTGAGGGTGGGCATATATGCACATATCCATAATTTAAACAATCAAAAGAAAGACAAAACTGAAAACGCACGGTCCCGTGTGGCACACGCGAAATCCCGGCTCTGTGGGGCGCGGGTGAGGCCGGCGGCCCGGGGCGGCCAGCGCGGCAAACCGAGGCCTCAAGGAAATACCCGACGTAAAGACCTACAGGGAAGGCCACCGCAACCTCCGGCGACACGTGTACAGGGTCACAGGGTCACAGGAGCAGCAGGTGCCAGGAGCGAGACCAACGCAGCCTGTGTGGCCCCGAGAACGAGCACGCACGGCACACAGGCGGACAGCGCCACAGAAGTGAAACAGCGCGCACATGACGTCCTCTGCAACGTCCGCACATATTCCACCATGTCCGTGCGTACCGACGTGTGATATCACACCGTCGTACACTCCAACACACTCGTGCACATCGCATCTTACTGAGTCTAAAACCAAACGTGTGTGTCCTCACGGCCCCTTCCGCTCGAGGAGAAACTAGGGCACAGAGGGAGTCTCCCTCCGGCAGGGTGTGAGGAGGGGGAGGGAAGGTGGTCTCGGCTTCCGCGACCCGAGGAGTCCCCGCACGCACGCGCTGCCGGGTGCAGGGCTTCCCCGGGCCGAACCCCGAGAACTGCCAAACTTTCTCCCAAACCAGGACGCATCGGCCTCCCGCGTCCCGCAGCATCCGGGAGACCCTCGCCCACCCGGAACGGAGGTCGAGAGAGGTCGTGGGGTCCTCGGGTTCCCCCGACCCACTCACCTCCGTCCTAGGAACGCAGCCGCGGGACCCCAGGCTCCGCCGGGGAGCTGCGCGGAAGCGCCGAGCTCCGGAACTACAACTCCCAGAATTCCCGGAGGCAGAAGCCCGCGCGCAGGCGCCCCGTGCCTGCCCAGCGGGCCCCACGCTGCCCCGGGTCGGTGGTAACCCTCCAGCGGCCGGAATCCCACCGAACGCGGACACACGTCCACCCCCGGTGACACGCTTCCTCCAGCACGGCCCCACCTCCCAGTCCTTCCACTCCCTGGTGAAGCCGGGAAAGGGGAACTGAGCCTGTGCGGCCCGCGTCGGAGTGCGCGTCTCACACCCAGGAAGAAGTCACACGGTTATGTCACGCTGCGATGCTGTCCTTGGTCGTCAGTTTGCTGCGTCTGGGATTAGGAAAACCCAAGGCCGCGGGCACTCCCGTGAGGGGTGTTACCGTCTTTCTCTCCTTTCCTTTTTGCTTGCTTGTTTGGTGGTGTTTGTGAGCCACGGTTCTTCTGTGTTTCCTGGCCGTCCCGGAACTCACAGCTCTGCCTGCCTCCGCCTCCCGAGTGCTGGGGTTCAAGGCTGAGCGCCACCACCTTCTGCGGCTAGACCAGGTTTTAATCCAGACCTTTGAGGTGGGAAGATCCACCTTTAATCTGGACCACACCTTCCGCTGGCCGCCTACGTAAAGGACGTGGAAGGAGGAAGCTCTTCTGAAAGTCATAGATTTTACACATTTTTTGACTTTTTTTTTTTTCAATTTGTTCATTTTATATCCTGATTGTATCATATCCCGGTCCCACCCTCCCTCTCCTCCTCCCCATCCCCTTCCCCTAGTCCACCGAAAGGGGGAGTCTTCCCCCCTGCCGTCTGCCCATAGCTTATCAAGTCTCATCAGGACTGCCTGGACCTTCTTCCTCTGTGGCCTGGCAGTGCCGACCTGCCAGGGGGAAGGATCAAAGAGCAGGCAGCCGAGTTCAGCTTTTTAGCTCTTTGCCTGCTTGCTCTTGCACTCATTGGCAAGTCCGTTCCTTCACTGGCACCAACTTCTGGATTCTGGCGTACACAGACCAGCAGACGGGTCCAGCCTTGCAGACGGAACAACTCCTATCTCGGGCTTTCCGTTCGTAGACAGCCATTGTTGAACTAGCCTGACCACAGCCTGTAAAATTACATTGAGTCATTCTATTAATTGTTTCTCTAGAGAACCCTGACAATACACATGGTATTGTGAAGAGAAGGGAGTAAGTATAAAGGAATGCTGGGCCCTGGGATAAGTTCAGCACTTAAAAGCTCTTGTGTCCCGGAATTTGGGTCCCATAACTGCCTTTACCGCCAGCACTAGGAGACCTGCTGCCTTCTCCTGGCCTCTGTGGCACAGGTGGCACACACAGAGAAATGTGCATACGCGAGTAAAAACACATTTAAAAATGCTGTGTAAACTAAAAACAAGTAACAGTAATATTGAGCCATTGAGATGAACTGAGTAAAAAAATATATTTTTTTTTTTTTTGGTTTTGTTTTTTGAGACAGGGTTTCTATGTGTATCCTTGGCTGTCCTGGACTCACTCGCTCTGCAGACCAGGCTGGCCTAGAACTCAGAGAGCCACTGCCTCTACCTCCCAGGGATTAAAGGCCTGAGGAAATTTTTATGCACGCCTGCATGCACTCATGCCCAGGGGGCAGACTACACTTTGGCTCCACTGCTCTCCATTTCTGGAACCTGGCTCCTCCATGGTTTTCAGCATTACACTTTGCCACACTAAATCACATGAGGCAAAACTTCTTGCCACCCTAAAAGGCTGTAAGAGGTCAGATATTTCCTTCTTCTGGGGAGCCAGCTTAGGGAGGTGCCCTGACGACAGTCCTCTGGCCCCCAGACCTCCTCCTGCGGCCCATCTTCTCTCCATCTCTTATTAGAGTGGCCTGGCGGTGGTCAGGCTAGTCCAGCGATGGCTGTCTACCAAAGAGAAGTCCAAGCATGCGGCAGTTGTTCCGGAGGCTGGATCTCTGCTGGTCTTCAGCAGACACTGGAATCCTAGGAAGCCAGCTCTAAGGCCAGTGAAGAAATGGACTCCTAAGAGGAGCAAGTTAACTCTACACGTTTCTTTGTGAGTTTTATACCCCGTGCTAAACTAAGTTCTCTCAGTACTTTTCCAGAAAGCAAAAGGACACGGACAAAACGAGAAGAGGGCAAATGGACACAAGTCCCACTGACCTGCCCTGTTGTAAAATAGTGACCAGGCAGGTAATTTTGAGATATCGTTGCCCAGCAACTGACCCAAAGGTCTTCATCCTGTTGCAGAATGACCAGGCCTGCAGTTGCCAGATATCGTTGCCTGGCAACCACTCCAGATGGTCCCAGCTCCCTCACCAGATAGCCCCATCACTTCACCTCCCAGAAAAACCATAGGACGTGCTAATCGCTCGCCCTCCCCAGTAGCAGCCAAATCTGCACATAGCAGGACATTCCAGGCGTGCCTTAAAGGTCAGCTATCCTCCAGATGTCTGGACTAACTGGACCTGGAGCCCAAAATTAACCAGTTATTTTAAAAGTCAACCACCCTAGTGCCCCTTCACCCAATCCCGTGCTTCCCTGCGCATTTCGTCTCGGGCTGTTCCTCGCTGGCTTGGGGGCAGCCACACCGCGTTGGCCTGAATAACCCTCTTGCCATTGCATCAATTTGGTGTGCAAGTCTCCATCAGTCTCCCTGTAGTTGGGCTCGCCCTGGGCCTCACACTCCAGCCAGAGCAAACAGGCAAGGAGCAAAAGTGTCTTTCTTCCCTGTCCTTCATTGGCTGCCATGAGATGAGGGCCCACAGACCTAACATTCCCGAGGTCCCCAGACAGCTCACTCAATGTTAGTTATGTTAGCCAACCACTCTGTAACAAGCTCGCCCTCGCTGAATGCCACCCAATCCTAAGCTGGAAATTCCTGGTCCTTGCTCAGACCCCCGTACAAACCCTGCCATGTAGCTGCTCAGGGCTCTTCTCTCTGATCCACTGCGTTGGTGACCGTGGAGAGCTTAAGCCCGAATAGAGCTCTTTGCTCTTTTATGTGGTCTTTGGGGACCTTCAGGTCTGGGACAACAGTGGCTTTGGTGCCCCTCATTCTGATCAACCTCATCCCAGTTACTATGGAACACATATGTAAACATAGTCTATGTTGTTAATACTAGTAGAACTAAAAAACCCAAATTTACCAGAGTAGCAGGGGCAGCAGCATTGTCTGGCAAACTGCTGCCAAGGCAGGTACTAAATGCCAATTTGTTACTCAGGGATTCTGTCATAGAAAGACACAAATGTCCATTGCAGTACTAAATCTTGCCAATTGTGTCTGGCCTGACACACTCATGACTTGGGAGTTTTTGGAGGGTGCCCCGTGTCACCAGGAAAAACATGGCTTTGCTTTGTGTCCCTCCGTCTCATCAAAAATTTAAAAATAGACTCAGGAGGCCTGAGGACAATTTTTTTTTATATTTTGAGTGAAAACTGGGGCAGGCACAATGTGAATCTTGGCAGTTAAGTGGAGAGGAGGGAGAGAGGAAGCCAGGCTTTCCAAGTTAGGGTCTGAGAAAGCTGGCAAGAGCTTGGCCACAGCTGTGTGGTGGTGGTAGAAGGGCAGCTTGGGAATGGGGGGGGGGGGGACTCAAAAACTCTGAGAACCCCCAGGGTGTTTGGAAAAGCATGCTCAGGCTTCAGCCAGAACTTGGAAGAAAAAGGTGTAAAGAAGGAAAAAGAAAGTTTCGCTTTTTTGAGTTAGAGAGGACAGAGGACAGAGACAGTGTGCTCAGCTGTGGTAATGCACCTGCCCGGGGCTTCCTGGAAAGAAGAAAGAATGTGCCCGGGACTTCCTGGAAGAAGAGGGCGTCATCTCAACAAGAGTCACCTCCCACCCCCGACACACGCTATGTAGTTTGGAAGGTCAAGCGCACAACCACAGGAGGAAGTAGATTCGCCTTAATGACCTCAACCAAACCCAGATTCCTAAAGCTTTTTACATGACAATTTAGATCTTAAGGGGCCATTTGATGCTTCTGTTTGTATTGTTTCTGGGAAGACAGAGGATGGGGTGCACCGGCAGTAGCTCCTTTGCTGGCTGATGTCTAGCTTCTCCAGCGTGGACGCTCTCATCTGAGTCAGTGTGTGAGAAGCCTTGCCTGCATCTTTACATGAAACGGTGAGGCACGGAAAAGCTCTTCCCCACACGGATAGGTTTCCCAGCAGCGAGAAATCTCTGGTGAGAAGCACTAAGCGTCAAAAGCCTCCGCACGGTGTCTGTTCCCAGAGCTTCTCACTTCTCACTTGGCTGAGCATTCGGGCTTGGGCAACCATGGGGGTGGGGGAGACCCAGCCCTGGAGAAGCCGATTCAGTCAGCGGCCAGGGCCGGCCTGCGGCTGGTCCTCGCGGTGTGACAGACTGCGGAGGGCTGATCCTAACCGCGCAGCTCTGCCCTCGCCAGCCAGCGGCCACCGGGCCTGGCTGCGCGCTGCAGCTCGGATATCTGCCTCGGCGTGTACCACTGCACACACGCGACAAGTGTGCCACAGCCGCCGGTCCCCTCCGCTTCCTCCCACTCCCCAGCTCACTCCTGCTCTCCGTCCTCTCCACGACGTGTGCACCGCGCCGAGGGGCGCGGCCCCTGACCGCCTCGCTCCTCCCTGCGGGGCGCCTGGCCTCCTGCCCGCGCTGCCGGCCCTGCGTGCACGCCCACGGCGGCCGCACCGGCCCACACCCTGCATCCTCCCCGCGCTGGAGGCTCGGCCGCAGCCGCTGTGCGCAGCGCAATCCGCGCGGCTGCGGACGCAGAAGGCCTTTGCGGTTGCCTCGAGGCGGAGCCTCACCGTCGGCCAGACGCCCCCGCCGCCTCCCGGGCGCACGCCGCTCTCCTCTGAACAGCTTTATTGGGGCGCGCCCGCGGGTCACTTGCACAGCGCCTCCAGGTTCAGGAAGCTGACCTGCATCTTGACCTCCAGGTCGATGCCGCGCCAGGTCCGCACGAAGTCCTCGAAGGCGATGCCCGGGTAGGGCTCGCCGTCCCCGGGCGGGCGCTCGGACGCGCGGGCCGCCTCCCTGAGCGCGCCGCCCGCCACGTTCGTGGCCATGGCGCGCACGCTGGCGCGGTCCTCCTGCGGGTTGGCGGCCGACAGCAGGTCCTCCAGCACGCGGCGGTACTCCTGCAGCGTGATGAGCCCGTCGCCGTCCTGGTCGTACAGGTGGAACAGGAAGCGCATCTTGTCGCGGCGCGGCGCCTCCGCCTGCTCGAGCGACGGCCGGAAGTAGGCGATGATGCCCAGGAAGTCCTGGAAGGTGATGGCCTCGGACACGCCGCACGAGCCCTTGCCCAGGTTGCGGTTGTCGAAGAAGGCGTGCACGATGCGCGCGCGCAGCGGGTTGCTCGCCAGGTCGGGCACGCCGTCGAAGCCCTCGGGCCGCAGCTCCGGCTGGTCGCCGCTCAGCAGCCGGAAGCGCTGGTGCAGCTGCTTGATCTGCGCCCAGCTGAAGTCGACCGCGTGCGCCAGCCCCTCCTGCACCTGCTCCCAGCACAGGTCCGTCCTGCTCTCGCGCTCCCACGCCTCCTCGGACGAGTGCTTGGCGCCCATGCCGCCCGCCGCACTGCGGGACCCCGGGCCGGGCTGCGCCGCCCTCCGATTGTGAGGTCGGCGCGGCGGCCCGGCCCGGCCCGTCACAATCCCCGACGTTCGTTCCCGCCCGGACGCAGAGAAGCGAGGCAGACTACATGTGAAATAGACACACACACACACACACACACATAAATATTGCATACAATATATACATACATACACATTACATCTACGACATACACATTACATATATATATATATACATACCACATGTAATATACCTGGTACATATTATATACATATTACCTATAATATATACACATGCATATAGATGTATACATACGTAACCGGTGTAGCCTTGGCTTTCCTAGGACCTTGCTGCAAGGATGAGTGCTTTTTAAAAAAGATTTATTTATTATGTGTACAGTGTTCTGTCTGCATGTACGCCTGCACGCCAGAAGAGGGCAGCAGATCGCACTATAGATGTTTGTGAGCCACCACGTGGGTGCTGAGAATTGAACTCAGGACCTCTGGAACAGCAGCCACTGCTCTTAACCGCTGAGCCGACCCTCCAGCCCAAGATGTGTGTCTTTGCCCTACAAAACAAAAGATGCTGGAATGGCCAGTGGTCCCTCCTCGGAAGGCAGGGGCAGGAGGATCTCTGAGTCTGAGGACCATCGGGCCTACACAGTTGAATTCCAAATCATCAGGGGAAGAAAGGAAGCAGGAGGAGGAGGGAGATGAGGGGTGGGAAGGACAGAGGGAGGGAAGGAAGAGAGAGAGAGAGAGAGAGAAAGAAAGAAAGAAAGAAAGAAAGAAAGAAAGAAAGAAAGAAAGAAAAGAAAGAAAGAAGAAAAAAAGAAAAGAAAGAAAGGAAGGTAGAGAGAAGAGTAAGAACAAGAAAAAGAGAAGAAAGATAAGGGGAGGAATACGTGAAGGCAAAGGGGAGAGAGTGAAGGGAGGGGACAGACTAGAAATAACCGGCCAGGTAACAGGGATGAGAATTAAATAATCCAAACAACCATGACAGAGTCCGTGCATACTTACCCCTTGAGCAAACAAGCATCTCCCAGGGAGAAGTCCCTGTGAGTAATGAGTTAATACGCACACGTGTTTGGGTGCTTGCACACTTGGCGGGTGGAGTATCGGAGCGCTAACCTCCATGTATGAGAAGTACGATAAGCTGCCCGTAGGGGTCAGGGGAGCTTTTTGTACAGGGTCATCATCTGAGTTATTTGTGTACGGCTGTGACAGAACAAACCACTGGGCAGGGAAGTGTTTGTTTCCCTTACACTTCCCTGTCACAGCCGTCAGCTGTCTCTCCAGGACCCAAACTACGACGACTCCCACCTGGAGTCCTCCTGCGGGCCGTGATGTGGCCGCTGAAGCCCGGAGGCAGAGAAGCTGTGCCGGTGGCCCCCAGGATACCCTCAGAGGACACCCTCACCCTCACCCTCACCCTCACAGGACACCCTCACCCTCACCCTCATCCTGACAGGACACCCTCACCCTCACAGGACACCCTCACCCTCACAGGACACCCTCACCCTCACCCTCACAGGACACCCTCACAGGTTGTTGTCCCGAGGCCTCCGTGCGGGGCAAAAAGAAACAGCCCCCAGAGAGTCGCCCTGCATCCCCGGACCCTGGCCTGCGTCCCTGGGGACTGTTTGCTTTCCTTCTCAGAGCAGGAGGCAATATGGGAAGGGCCTCTGTCTGCCCTTAACGTGGTGAGCACAGAGGAGCTCAGGAGTGTGTGTGTGTGTGTGTGTGTGTGTGTGTGTGTGTGTGTGTGTATCGGGGGAGGGGGTCTCAGGGCCCAGTGACACAGGGCAGAGCCTGGCTCACAGGTCACGACCTTTGACCCCCTCTGGCCCCAATCATCCCTTCAGATGGTCCTAAGATCTTTGGGCTACATGAGACCCTGTCACTAACAATAAAATGAAAAGGTACGTGCAGATGTGTGTTCCTTCGCTGGTCAGGAAGCGTGGTTTATGGTAATTGTGACGAGGTTCCAGAAGGTGGCGCTAAAGTGACTTGTGTCCAACAAGGTGGAAGCTGGCTTTCTGGCCTCACCGGAGCCAGCTTCTGGCAGATGGAAGGCCTCTTGCTAGATCATCCAAAAATGGTCCCCTCCTTCACAAGGAAATGCTTTCTCACCAGACACAGGGATCCTTCCCCCAAATGCCTGACTCTGTCTATCATGGACTGTATTTGGTCTTTCCTTCCTTCCTTCCTTCCTTCCTTCCTTCCTTCCTTCCTTCCTTCCTTCCTTCCTTCCTTAAGGTTTCTTTTTGAGACAGGGTTTCTCTGTGTAGCCCTGACTGTCCTGTAACTAGCCCCATAGACCAGGCTGGCCCCAAACCCCAGAGATACGCCTGCCTCTGCCGTAACATTGCTGGGGTTAAAGGCATGCACACTGCTATGGCCATCTCCCTATTTCTTCTTTGTGTGTTTCTGTGTGTGTCACGCACAGTTTCCAAAGATGCCCAAACAAGGTTTAGGATTGGCTGAAGCGACTACAGGCGATTGTGAGCTGCACAGAGGTGCGTGCTAGGAACCAAACTCAGGTCCTCCAGAAGGGCAGCCCGAGCTCTAACCAGGGAACAGCCTCCGCAGCCCCTGGTAGTTTACACTGGCTTTAAAAAATAGCTACTTTTGTATGTTTATGTGTGTTCTGCCTGCATGTATGTCTGTGCACACACAGGTGCCTGGTGCCCACAGAGGCCAGAAGGCATCAGATCCCAGGGACTGGGGTCACAGGCAGCTGTGAGCGGCCGTGTGTCGCTCTTCCACAGGGCCCAGCGCGCTCTTAATGGCTGAGCCCTCTCTCCAGCGCCACTGATTTTGTTGTGAGACTCGGCAGCCCAGGAACTCCTGCTCCTCCCGCCCCCACCCCTGAGGGCTGGGATCCTATGCAAGGCACCACCGCACCCACCACTTTAACTGATTGCTCACGGTACCAGGCCGGAAATTCAAAGCCACGAGTCTTTTTCCTTGGCACGAATCACCAAGTTAATGAACATGCAATTACCATTAAGAGTGACAAAGAATGTGAGTGGGTGGAGACCCAGGGCAGTGCCTCGGCCAGTCAGCTGTGTTGTGGCGGTAGCTGTTCCTTGTAGCTTTGGATGTTTCCTTGGCATAAAAGTAAACTGCTACTACAACCCCGTGACCTGTTACCTGGGTATTTACGTTGTTAAAATTCTGAGATAAATCTTCAACTCCATTCACACCTATCGAGATGTCACAAGGTCAGGGGTTGTGACACAGGTCAGCAACCTCAGCACTCTGGTGGGAGAGACAATGGGAGTTCAAGACCAACCTCAGCTACATAGGGAGAGTGGGACAACTGGGCTGTATGAGATCCTGTCCCAAAAGCCACCTCCTCAACTCCCTCTATGAAAAAGAAAAAAAGCAAACAAAATGAGCAAATTGTGGGAAATTGTGGTTATAGCAGCAAAGGGAAAAGTCTACAGAGCTGTTGCATTTATCTTTTGTCTGAGAGGTGCGTGTGTGTGTGTGCATGCGTGTGTGCGTGTGTGTGTGTGTGTGTGTGTGTGTGTGTGTGTGTGCGCGCGCGCACTCGTGGTCAGCTTCCAAAAGTCAGCTCTCTCCCATCACGTGGGTCCAGGCACTGAGCTCAGGTCGTCGGGTCATCAGGAAGCACCTTTACCCATGGAGACATCTCTGCCCCCAATTTGCTGCTTTAGCCGGCAGCACCCGCTGTAGTCCCCAGGCCTTTAGCACCTTGGGGGCTCTCCAGATCCGGCCGTCACCTGATGTGGACGGATGCACTCTACAGCCCCGCAGCCAGCACTGAGGGCTGCCGGTGATGGTGCTCTGTCAGCCAGGGGAGTGAGAGCACGCCACATTTGGAATACTTCCATTTTGCCTATTTACTTATTTATTTTTGAGTGCAGCCCTGCCAGCCTGGACTTCAGCCTGTAGATCAAGGCTGGAATGAACTCACCGAGACCTGACCTCCTCTGCCTCTCTAGTGCTGGGATTAAAGGCATGTGCCACCACCCTAGGCATCATTATCACCATCATCACCACCACCACCACCATCATCATCACCACCATCACCATCAACACCATCATCACCATCACCACCATCATCACCATCAATACCATCATCACCATCATCACCATCATCATCACCATCATCACCATCACTACATCACCACCATCACCACCATCATCACCATCACCACCATCACCATCACCACCATCATCATCACCATGACCACCATCATCATCACCATCATCACCACCATCATCACCATCACCACATCACCATCATCACCACCACCATCACCATCACCACATCACCATCATCATCACCACCATCACCACCATCACCACTACCACCATCACCATTATCACCATCATCACTGTCACCACCATCATCACCATCAACACCATCATCACCATCAACACCATCATCACCATCATCATCATCATCACCACCATCATCACCATCACATCACCATCATCACCACCACCATCATCATCACCATCACCACCACCATCACCACTACCACCATCACCATTATCACCATCATCACCATCACCACCATCATCACCATCACCATCACCATCACCATCACCACCATCATCACCATCACCACCATCATCACCATCACCATCACCATCACCACCATCATCACCATCACCATCACCATCACCGTCACCACCATCATCACCACCACCATCACCACATTTGCATATATGTGTCATGTGAGTGCATGTCCCACAGAGATCAGAAGGGGGAGTCAGATATCCTAGAACTGGAATGACAGACTCCTGGTTGTGAGGTGCTGGGAATTGAACCCATGTCTTCAGGAGAAATAACCAGTGCTGTTAACCACTGAGCCACCTCTCCAGCTCCTAGTAAAGCTAACGAATTCGTACAGCACAGTCAGCACAGTGGTTGGACATCACGATCTTTCCAGGCGAGCAGAGCACGGTGGGGGGGCCTGTCAGCCAGCAGTGCAGGTTTGGGAAGTCTGGGGCTTGG